CACCTCCGCCCCACGCTTGAGGAGAAGCCGCACAACCGATTCGCTTCCATGGAATGCAGCTGCTTGGAGTGCACTGCCATAGTGGCCACCCTCCGCATTCACCTCCGCCCCACGATCGAGGAGAGGCCGCACAACCGATTCGTTTCCAGTATCTGCAGCCGCTTGGAGTGCATTGCCATACACGCCACCCTGCGCATTCACCTCTGCCTCATGCTCGAGGAGAAGCAGCACAACCGATTCCTTTCCATGCTTTGCAGCCGCTTGGAGTGCATTGCCATACACGCCACCCTGCAAATTCACCTCTGCCCCATGCGCGAGGAGAAGCCGCACAACCGATTCGTTTCCATGCAATGCAGCCGCTTGGAGTGCATTGCCATAATGGCCACCCTGCGCATTCACCTCTGCCCCACGCTCGAGGAGCAGCTGCACAACTGATTCTGTTCCATTTTTTGCAGCTGCTTGGAGTGCATTGCCATACACGCCACCCGGCGCATTCACGTTTACTGTATCCACTTTTCTGTTGACTAGGAATTTACAGGCCGTCACTAAATTTAACAAGGATGAATAGTAGATAGCTGACGGGTAAACACCGGAACTCGGGAGCTCATATCGGTATCGATGGTCGGGGTCATATAAATCCAACCAGCCCTTGCCAAGCTCGAGAACCTTCACCACTGCCTCGGAGAGTGGTGTGGGTGCCGTATCCTCAATGCATCTGGTATACACGGGCCAGAAGCGAGCACTATGGTAGAGAAATGATGTTTCCGCAACTTTGCCACGATGTGCAGTCCCTTGTGCACTGTGTCGCAGTATTCGACTGAGGCAAGAATGTCCCATCAGTAAATAGGCTTTATCCTCCGAAATATGATAGGAGGCACCGGGGCCCTGAGCTGCCCGGTCGGAGATCAAATATTCCTTTACCGAGAAATGTGCCAGTCGTAATCGGCGGTCTTCCTTGGGGGATGATTCATCGTCCCTGGCATCCTCAAAGGAAATAAGGTTAGGGCAAATGCTCATGAAGCAACTCTTATCAAAAAGAGAGCCAGTCTCAGGATCCTCGCCATATTTTTCGACATCGTATTCGATCACGACGGCCTCCGCAAGCTGGCCTAACGTCAAGGGTTCTGCGGAAAATGCGAGCCAATGCATCGCTCGCCGAAGATATTCCCCCTGCTTCTCGTGGATGCTTTCAAGGATCCTCAAGTAGACAGAATCTAAGTCTTTCGGAAGTTCTCTCAAGGCAGCTCTCACATCTCCCGGTGTTATGCATTCCCGTAGAGTTCGCAAAACACAATTCACCCATTGGAACCTGAACACCCCCACACTTGTATCAGCGTAAATTAATATCTGAATCGGGGAGCATAACATACATTCCCTGCGAACGAGAAACTAGTGTGTCCTCTATCTCATCCTTGATCGCTTTCGTAAATTTCTTAAAGCAATCCTTGCCATCTAGAGATTTCTGTACATATGTTCGGATATCCGGATCGACGGTTTTAGATTGTAGCGGTATTGAAAATTCGGTGAGAGGTTCTAGTGATCCCATTATATCGGCCTCGGGACGGCTCGTGGCGAGAATGCAGAGCGAGCCAGCCTTATGATCAGCCGTAAGCTCACCAATCCAAGACAGGAGACTCTCCCGCGTGTCCTTGGGGAATTCATCTAAGGCATCGAGAACGATAAACGTCTTCCTGAAATCCTTTATAATATGCGACAATAGATCCTTTAGATCTCTGGTATCCGCCGACTTTCCAACCGCCTTGGTTCTGCTGTAAAGATCTACAACAGCACCCGGTAAATCCCGCTCCGAAAGCCTTTTTGAAAGTTGGCCAATAAGGTATAGAAGCATATTGTTCAATTTTTGCTTCTCGGAATCACTGAAGGTGAAATAGAAATAAGCTAATGCGTGATCATCGTTTTCGTTGCACAGATGCTGCAAATCTTCAATTGCAGTAGCACTAAAGATTGAGTTAGCAATAAAGAAATCATATCGCCCCTCTGGATACCTGGTTAGGTTCGCACCTCAGTACACTCTTGCCACAACCGGCTAGAAGAAACAAATGTTAGAGACATTCTTGCAAGCATAAGATTTCAACCATCTCTAGACATACGTATACCATGGAGCCATAGAACCCCCCCTCTGTCTTTCTTCCAATCCATGTAATCCTGTCCCCCGAGTAGCCATCCTCCAGTACCGGGTTCACGAACAGCCAGAGCGGATGAATAATTTGAGGCTGGGTCGACGACGTTGAGCCACTTCCGTACTTTCCGGAATTCCTTCTCTAGGGTTCAGAAATATCTAGCGTTAGTAAGGGAAAAATTGGCAGGGTTAGGGATAATGTGACAATGTACCATCCAGTTTTCGCAATACCTGTGTGACCGTCTTCCTAAACAACTGGTTAGTCTTGCTACCAAAACGCAAAGGAAGTGGAAAAGTTAGATTCCTAGGGGACTGAACAATAGATAACTTACGTTGTGGCGGTGGTTAGCAATAGCTGCAGTTCTGTTCTCTCCTCTTGAACCAAGCCTAGGTAGTGTTCCATTTTCGGTTTGCGAAAAGGCCAAAATAGCTTCCGTGATGATTTCCTCCATCCCGGAACATTTAATTTGGCTTCAAGCTCTTCGAGGGCTGCCCTATAATCTTTCAAATTTTTGCCTCTCGTCCATTCAAGTAGCTCCGGGTATCGCGGATTGTTCTCATCGCCTTGTTCCGCAAGGCTCCCGATTTCCTTCAGCTGTTGGTCGATACCCCTAATCTCATCCCCCAGTTTCTTGAAATCTTGCTCGCTCTCCTTGACTACCTCGCAGTAATCATCGCAAAGCTTGTAAACCTTCGAGCCGAGATGAATGAGGGACAAGACACTAGCGGCCAAGGATATAGGTTCTGCCATTTTCCTGATCGTAGTCGTCGCAGACCTGAGGGCGGAAGTGCAAAGATGAAGCTATTACAGCTCGCTATTTTTTAGAAACGATAGATAAGGACAAGCCGGCGTTTAAATCCTAAGGTAGGCTGTCGCTGAAGCTTCGCTCGCTTTAGGGTTATTCTTTTTGACTGGGGATTCAAATATGTGGTGGAATACAGCAACCGGAGGGCAACGGCGGTATTCAGCCGAATGTTTCCCTTAAGTTCACTACGAGCGGGGCTGCGCACCAGAACGGCAGCTTCATGTCCAATCTCTACCTGCACAACTGCTAGCCAACCATTATGCGAGTCGACCAGACCCCCATGCTCACATTTCCAGTAACGATGGAATTTCTTTCCCTGCCGGGGTTTTGGTGTGAGCACTATACGCGTAATCGGGGGATCTGCCTTGCGGCAGCTCCCACTGGCCAGGGAAAGCGCCGCAGACTATCGTTCATGTCTCATTCAACAGGAGGGCTGCGGTGGTGTAGCGTACAGTACTCGAGCACACCACTACGCCGTAAATTACGATACTCGGGTGGCCAAGTTGAAGTTGGACACCCACGAAGCTATTGCGCCTTGACAAAATTTACGGAATAGCAATGAAAATGCTAATAATTTACAATAATGACAACCCCATTTATGAATTCAACCAACCTCAACATCAGCCAAAAAAAATAGTTAAAAAATCAATAAATGCATAGCAGTATTCAGTACGAGTACCAAGTGTATCATCCATCAGACTTAATCATTGCCCTTATCCTATCTGGAGTGGAGTGGCTGTGCGGGGTTGTCCGGGAGCGGTGGCTGTCACACTCACCGGGGTGTTCGGTTAATTTTGCCAACTCACAATACGTACTGATCGCCGGGCCAATCGATTGGTGTCCCCAGGGCGCTAGAAAGAGTAGTGTAATTCTATATGTATCTAGATAGTAAGTTGAGCGGTCGCTTTCGGTGCCAGGCTGATGCTTGTGGGGACATGGGAAGCTCTTCCTGGAGATGTTGTTGATTAAAAGTATGCGAAGTCTTGTGGAAAGCGTCAAAGGATGGTATTTCATAATGTAGGTACGTAATTCGTGGTCTCCTAGGGCGGGGGGACTAAGTGCAACCCAATCCTCGAGCACGGATATCTTTCCTAATTTGACAACGCCAAGCTGTCTCCTTTCCCCAAAGGGCACTGCAACAAATATTTCTCACAGCCTTGCTTGCAGTTTATCGTGAACCTACCCACCACAGAATCAAAAACCAAGAACAGGGGACCACTAACCCTAGGTACTAGGGGGCCTCTTGGAAGCATTCGTTTTTCGGTTGAAATGATTCGCTTGTGTAGCGACGATCTCTCGCATGTTGTGTGTTGTTTTCTCCAATAATCTCCAAGTCTCTTATCGGTATTATGTACACTGCCTCCCTCCCTGGGGAGATCCCCATAATTTCGGCAGCACGAGCTCGCTATTGGCCCGGCGATAGCCTCCACCCCAGTATCCGGGTGCCCAACTTCAACCCGGCACTCAGAGCACTCATATACAGTACTGTACTACACCCTTGAAATTATAATTCGAGTACTTGGAATACTTGAGCACTTAGACTACTTGTACGAGTAGGAGAGCGTGAACCCCATTGCGCAGTAAATGGTACAGGTGTAGTATTTCATCCTAACCCACTTAGGAAAAAGTCCACCCGAGCAGGGGATTATGCACGGTCGTGTTGGTAAAAATGTGGAAACAATTTCCTCCTGCAAAAACACGTCCCTCCGGAGCCTCCGCTACCGGTAACTCTCAGGAGATGGTCTCTAGGGACACACACGCGTGACGCAGCGGGTCCTACGAGTACTCGGGTGCCGGTATTTGCCACTAGGTCTTTTCCATGGGCGGACATCCCTGCCACCATCATGAACCAATGAACCCTCATAACAATCGGGGCCAATCGCCTCCCAAGAGAACTCATTTTAGAAAAACTCAGGGATGGTATTATAGGAGCAAATCCTTTCTGCCTAGCGTCGTGCCGGCAAGCATAATGAACTCCAGGTACGGTCCGAGTACTCGAGTACCCGAGTACCCTCGCGCAGAGATTGGCGGTAACTGCACGAGTGAGCACCGCCAGCATGTTTTAGGGAGGTCGGCGCCCCTCGCAACCACTACCGACGTCGTAACAGCCACGCGGCAGACCGCGCAATCCCAGCGCATGCACCATGACACACGGAGTTCGATAGGGCAATTTTGGGCACAGGAATGTGCTGCGCATGCTGCATCCTGGAGCCGCATCCATTGGTAAAGCCCGCTGACCTACTGATAAGTTAATACCATTGGTTTCAGCGTTGGGGCTGATTGCGTCTACTGCAGCATCATTCTCTAATATCCCGGGCCCGGGGTCCACATAGCTTCCCCCAAAACTGGTATGAACTGCTCGAGGAGCAATTACTAGCTACGAGTATTGCTGTGGGAGACTAACTCACCTTGTGCGGCTCCGGAGCCCCTCACTTTCCCGGGGTTGAGCTAGCGGTATTGGTGGGGTAATACTTTCATACTCCTATCATACAGATGTACAATAGCCTCGTGGCCTCCACCCCACACCCGATTGCCGTCCCCAAAGACTTTCCTTCTATTTTCCGACCCACCTTCTCCATCTCCAGGCCCTTAGCGAAATTGTGAAAACACCACCAAGTACGAGTACACCATGCCGACTCAACCACCGGACACGACAAACGACGAACGGCGCACCGGTAGCGACTGTGTGGAGCCGTTTTCCCGGGTTTGTCAGCTCGTCAATCCTTCGATTTCAAATTCTTTCCTTCATCCGAGAAAACTCCAGAAATTCATGCCGGTTCTCCAACTGATGGGAAGAAAAGCCCTTGACAAACTTCAGCCCCGAGGACCTCCAGGCAAGGGATAGCATTAACTTTGATACTCTGATATAAGTTTTGTTGATGAACACACCAGCCTAGGTTCCCCCAGGTTGGAAAATATTGGATATTGCTTCTGCTTCCACTCCCAGATTCACTAAGACACGGTCATGGGTACTGGAGAGGCTAATACCAGTTTCAGTCCTGCTGTTTCTTATCGCATTTGGCCCCGGTCTCTTCTGTTCATATCCAGGTCCCGGCCTCCCCAACGCACTTAGCCCTCGGTCGCTCATATTCGGCTCCCATCCGCCGCCGCCGCCGCATCCCGCCGCTTGCTCCCTACTATCCGTACCCGCCCCACCAACAATTCCAGAAGCTCGCAGCGCTGCCAAAACCGGCTGTCCGGTATGAAATTCCCTGAATTCTAAACATATCTACACCAAAACATAATCCGTTGTCCCGGATAACTTGGTGTATGGGGTTGATTCCTTCGATCTTAGTTAGTAAGGGTAGCGAGGTACGAATATCTGTAGTTATTAATGAGTAGCCGAATTCCCCCCTTTGTGCGTTTTGCTGGCGAAGCAAAATTTATCCCGCTGGGCCGTGTTCGCAGGGTCCGGAGGGTGTCCAATGTACCTTATTCTATCCAAGCAATAAAGCATGTTATCAGTCAACCTAGCTATTTGGTTTTCCTTCCCCCGCAGTTACCCTCTAGCCCCTTTCCACTTCTCCCATTTTTCCCTCTCGCGAACGCCATGACTTGCTTTTGACCGCTCCGCGTACCATATGCCGCCTTCTAGCAAGAAGTCACTAACACAAGTGTTACCCTTTACAAGACCTACAAGGCGCTTACCCTTTCTCATATATGCTCCCGGGCATTGTCGCCTACCATAGAGACCGACAGGGTTTACTGCCCCAGTAGTACTATCCCAGGGGCGGGGTGCTGGAACCTGAACTATCGCAAGCTCTCAGATAGGGGCCTCCGTCGTATTCAGTGGCTGTTCGGATTACCGCGTGGCCTAACGTTGCTCTTCTAAATTCAGGAGCTCAATCATTAGGAAGGTGGGGTATATCATTGTGACTGTCTACGAGCACCAAGCAAAAACATTTGGCCCGTCACAAGCTTTTAAGACACAATAAACCTCGTGGGAGGAGAAGCAGATATTTTTGAGGTGATAGTCCGAAACCCTCCCCCGACCAAGATGATCGCAATTTTTGTCGTCGACCTGAAAACGACTTTGAGTTCGGCAGACCAAAAGCGTGGGAAAGAGAGGCGAAATTGGGCTTATCATTTACAATCGTATCAGTGATTGTGAATGTGACTTGAAAGATACCGTATCGGGACCATTAAAAAAAGGAACAGGACAATCATGTATCTCACGCTGAACGGATACTTCCTCTATAGGACTATCGTTCTTGAGACTCCTGTAAAGTTTTATTGTGTTTCCTAGGGGCTTGGTGATGTCCTGTGAAATTTCTGCAGATCCTGAAAGGCGTCGGTGTTCACGGGGTAGGGATGTGAAAACGGTGCTCACAGTATAGTGCTGGTGTCATAGTATCATACTAAAAGTTTTGATCCGGTGCGTTAGTAAGTACGAGGGTGTGGAGAAAAGTGATCGGAAAACCGCTAATTTGACAAATCATCGTCATGGGCTGTCTGAGAGCAGCCAATTAGGTTTCAAATTTAACATGAGGAAAAAAGTGATCGGAAAGCAGATGATTTTCCTATTCTAGTATAGGGTAGCTATACATCCTACAAGTACCTGCTTCAAGGTGCTCTGGTGTAGTGCCAGAACTTGAATCTTGCTGGGTGGGAACAGGCTGCGAGTATATATGAGCGAGGGTGGCAAAAACAGGATTATCGTTTTGCACCTCGTTGTTGCGGTTGGGGTATGGTTAGAATTTCCTTGTTCACTAAAATCGATGGCCTACCAATCACATTCATTCCGATCACTTACCCTTACACCCTCGTACTCGTAATGGTGACACCCACTCATCAAAATCAAAAGTCTTTCCCCGAGGTATTGCCGCCGGTAGCAAGACAGAAATTACTCCGCTCTGGCAGCCCCCACGACAGGAGAATTGTGTTGATACCATTGCCCTTGAATAAAATATCACTCGAAAACAGGGTCGCTAGTAATGTTCAGAGCTTATGAGAGATGAGCCCCAATTTTTACAAGCATGGTGTGGTTCGGTCGGTTGCGCCTAGGTAAAGGTCCGGGAGAGACTTTTGATTTTGGCGACTACACTACTCGTACTGTACTTCGTAGACTACGGCTGCTAGCAATTCTTGGTATTCGTGAAAAGCTACCGTAGTATGCTACTGTCGGGTGGCGCGGGAATGCGGAGCCTAGCCAATTTTTAGCCGCATCCGAAGGCAGCGCACCTTACGGGTCCAAAATTCCCGTGATTGCGGGTATGGAGTTAAATACCATATTCCACCATGCTGTACAGTGCGGTAGGGTTTCCCATACATCGACAGCGCAAAGAAAATATGCTGTGATGCTTCAAGTTACGCGATATGCAGCTTGAGCCATTCAATGTTGGAGCAGGTTACTGAAGGTTATCCCCATGATCGGTAGGGTATTGGGTCATGGTCAAGCGGAGCTTGGCAGTCATGTATTTCCGCTCATACATAGCCCCTTCGTAGCTAGAAAAGATGGATCATCTCGCTCCTCACACACTTCTATCCCTACGTTCAACTGCTGTACTCACACGGCTTTAAGTGACTAAGCCGGCCAGCTCCACCGTGGTGCTCATTAGATCCACTACTGATAACAGCCATGGGCCCCAGGTCTTCTGGATCAAAGACAAGATACCGTAACAGGGAACAGTCCTCTCCATCCGAAATGGCCCGTGGAGATGGTTGAGATTACAATAGAGGTATGAGTACAGTTCTCAAGATACTGAATGGCGATCGACCCGATATCCTAACCTGGCTATCCGCACTGGATCCTAAGTTACATCTCAAGATATCTGAAAACGCCGGGTGGAAAATGGAGGGGAATGACTCTCACAGACCGAGGAATTCCGAAGCCGGTACACCAGTAGTGAGGGAGCGAAGCCGATAATACTGTTTTGTTTTGTTATAGAGATTCGGGTGTGGGCAAAAGTTATATTAGGTACTGTAGCTAGGAAGGGCCTCGGGGGGTCGAAGAGGAAACACGAGCGCTGACAACCCTTGACATTAGTTCATTGGGAATAGAAAATGTGTATAAGCAGGTCAGAGGATAAAATGCCACCATTGTGTATTTTTTTTTTGACTTCGCCGCCCGAAAGGAGCAATCCCCTACGGGCATGCTGTGCGCATGTTGAAGCAGCTAGTAGGCAGGCTAGAGGAGATTCCAAATGAAATATCATGAGCATATCAAGACCAAAGAAATGCCATTGATAGCCGTGACCGGGGGCCTTTCGATATCGTCAGGCCAGCGCACACGATGCAGGCCCAAGATTCAATTCCAAAATCGATTGGTCTAACGCCACAGATAATGAACGAAGTGGCGGGAAAGTGCTATAGATAGAATTTAAACAGGGTGAAAATGAGATTAGACTTCTAACACTAACTCCTGAGATGCCATCTGAGTCAATCATCCTTGCTATCATGCTGCCCAGGGGACAGAACGGCCACCTGTATTGCATTTGACTCATGCCAACCCCTGTATATCTCTATCAGCCATTTACGAAAGCAGACAAAATGGTTCCAGGAGTTATTCTACTTTGTGGGTTTTTGGATCAAGTCCTGCCAGGCCGAGCTTTTATCTACCATGGGTCAGGCTAAGCCCTCTCGTTTTCACCCTTGGTTAACCAATTACAACGCTTGATGCGGATCAGTTCACGCCCGTTTCATATTTGGCACGGAGGAGGCTCGATACGGCACGGCGTGGGGAAATCCTATGTATCATACTCGCATGTCCAGGGGCTAGCCCTAATGGCTAATAGACTGATCACGTGCTAGTAGGGGGATACATGAGGAGGAAAAGGAAAACACATAGAAGAAATGAGACCATAAACAATCCATCCCCAAGAGTGGGGCAGGAGCTTGTCCTCCAACAGCCGCCCTCCACAGACCTGTAACTACAGCCCCACCCACCCAGGAGAAGGGAAGGGCGGGTAAATAAATACAGGAAAAAGGAAAGGGAGGTGCAAAGCCCAAGACCATACCCGATTAGCTAATAACTTTTAAATAAATTGGTAATGTCGGAGTCCTCACTCCTTAGACAGTTCTGTGAGGCGAGGGTAGGCTAGCCAGGGCGTGGACAAACTTGCTCTGGCTTTTCTTTGACGAAGTAAATAAATTCTAATAGGAAAGAAAAGAAAAAAAACCTAAAAAAGCCGAAGACAAAAAAACAAAGGCCTCTCTCTGGAGAAGAGAAAAACTAAAGAAAAATCCTCTCTGAAAAGAAATAAAAAAAAAAAACAACGTCCTTTTTTTCCAGCAAGACCAATGAAAACTAAGCTGCACTGTAGTTGTCTCTTGTGTGGGTTGTTCTTTCCCAATAGGGCCCCGGCAGTCCTATTCCCTAGTGCTCCCCCCACAAATCAACCGAAACACAGTCCCTTGCCCTTCTCAAAAGCCCTATTTCCTACCAAACCTACTACCGTCATCCTTGCGCTCAAAAGCCCTAACCACTGCCCAGAAACACTATTGCTAAAACAGCTCGCCACAGTAACCTAGCTTGACACTTCCCTCCTCTTCCAAGCTCCTTTCATTGCTTCCTACTGTCTCCGGAGCAGTCCTCATCCACTCGCTTCTTCTGTCAGAATCGCTTGACAGATTCGCACAATGACGGGAAGTGCCGATGTATCCGTGAACCTCACAGTATACAATGCGCGAGGTAGCCAATATTAATGTGAAAGGCGGGTACTAATAAGGATAAAGAGATTGGGTAGATCAAGAGTAACTTAATGGAGAAAGTGTAACTAGGAAATTCAGTGTGGGCCGACGGCTTCTGTAATGTGGAGCAAGGGGTGGTGTTGGGGGTGATGCACAAGGTGCGGGGTGAAGGAGACCAAGAGGTAGTGAGTTTGTAGAGACTGGAGGCCCAGCAAGGGTCACAGATCCGGGTTTCTATACCCGGGTGAACCCAGCATGAGGCAATCCGAAGTTTGGAAAATAGACGAGGAAGTCTTCCACGAGATGTGGTAGCAGTAGGATATATGGGACTGAGGAACGAATAGCTGTTTGATAAGGGCGCGTAATAGATAGATAACGGCCGTGGGGCGGTAGACTGTCGGGAATGCGGCGTGTGTAAATAGGAGTGGGGATTTTTTGTCACAGTCGTGTGAAAACCGGCTAAGAGAAGGAGCCAGTAGATATGGGATCGGAAAGGGCGGATTCCGGGAGCCCAGTATCGACTTCAGAGACGGGGTACCGGTAATCGAGTGTTGGACGATGGAAAGTGACCTAGCTGGTTGTGCTACTGGTGCCATCTGCCCAAACCTCCGCATTGGGAACTGCCCCGTATGAGAGGAGAAGCTGCAAAATGGATTCGTTTCCATTTTGTGCAGCTGCTTGGAGCGCATTACTATAATAGCCACCCTCCGCATCCACCTCTGCCCCACGCTCCAGGAGAAGCCGCACAACCGATTCCTTTCCATTTGCAGCCGCTGCCTGGAGTGCATTGCCAAACGTGCCACCCTGCGCATTCACATTTACTAGATCGGCTTTTTTATTGACTAGGAATTTAGTGGCCATCACTAAATTTAACAAGGAGGAATAGTAGATTGCTGGTGGGTAAATGCCGGAGCCGGCGGTCCTGAGTCGGTAAGGCTGGTCAGGATTATATATATCTAGCCACCCCTTGCCAAGATCGAGAACCTTCACCGCTGCCTCGGAGAGTGGTGCGGGTGCCGTATCCTCAATACATCTGGTATACACAAACCAATAGCGAGCACTATGGTAGAGAAATGATGTTTCCGCAACTTTGCCACCGTGTATAGTCCCTTGTGCATCACGTCGCAGTATTCGACTAAGGCAAGAATGCCCCATCAGTAAATTGGCATTATCCTCCGAAATATGATAGCAGGCATTCGGGCCCTGAGCTGCACGGTCAGAGATCAAATATTCCTTTACTGAGAAATGTGCCAGTCGTAATCGCCGATTTTCCTGGGGGGAGGATTCACCGTCCCTGGCATCCTTGAAGGCAATAAGGCTAGGGCAAATGCTCATGAAGCAATCCATATCAAAAATGGCCCCAGTCTCAGGATCCTCGCCATATATTTCGACATCGTATTCGATCACGACGGCCTCCGCAAGCTGGCCTAATGTCAAGGGTACTGCGGAAAATGCGAGCCAATGCATCGCTCGCCGAATATATTCCCCCTGCTTCTCGTGGATACTTTGCAGGATCCGCAAGTAAACAGAATCTAAGTCTTTCGGAAGTTCTCTCAAGGCAGCTCTCACATCTCCTGGTGTTATGCATTCCTGTAGAATTCGCAAAAGACAATCCACCCATCGGAACCTTAATATTCCCACCCTTGTATCAGCCTAAATTAAAATCGGAATAGTGGAGTATAACATACATTCCTTGTGAACGAGAAACTAGTGTATCTTCTATTTCATTCCTAATTTCTTTCGTAAATCTCTTGAAGCAATCCTTGCCATCCAGAGATTTCTGTACATATGTCCGGATATCCAGATCGACTGTTTCAGATTGTAGCGATATCGAAAAAGCGGTGACTGGTCCTAGTGACCCCACTATATCGGCCTCGGGACGGCTCGTAACGAGAATCGAGAGCGATCCAGCATCATGATCAGCCGTAAGCTCCCTGATCCAAGATAGCAGACTCTCCCGTGTGTCCTTGGGGAATTCATCTAAAGCATCGATAATGATAAATGTCTTCTTGAACCCCTGTATAATATGCGACAATAGATCCTTCAGATCTCTGGTATCCGCCGACTTTCCAATCGCCTTCGTGGTATTGTAGAGATCTACAACCGCACCCGGCAAACCCCGATCCGAAGGCCTTTTTGGAAGTTGGCCAATGAGCGATAGAAGTATATTGTGTAATTTCTGCTTCTCGGAATCACTGAAGGTGAAGTAGAAATAAGCCAATGCGTAATCATCGTTCGCCTCGCACAGATGTTTGACATCTTCAATAGCGGTAGCACTAAAGAGCAAGTTAGTAATACAGAAATCATATTGCACCTCTAGACATCCGGTAAGGTTCGTACCTCAGTACACTCTTGCCACATCCGGCTAGAGGGCACAAATGTTAGTGACATTTTTCGAAGCATAAGGTTTCACTGCTCTTCAGACATACGTATACCGTGGAGCCAGAGAACCCCCCCTCTGCCTTCCTTCCAATCGTTGTACTCTGGCCCTCCGAGCAACCAACCTCCAGTACCAGGTTCACGAACAGCCAGCGCGGATGAATAATTGGAGGCCGGATCGACGATGTTGAGCCCCTTCTGTACTTTGCGGAGTTCCTTCTCGAGGGGTTAGGAATATCTGGTATTAGTAAAGAGAAAAATTGTCCGGGTTGGGGATTGTGTGACCAAGTACCGTCTAGCTTTCGCAACACCTTAATTACCGTTTTCCTAAACCCCTGGTTAGTCTTGCTACCAAAACGAAAAGGAAGTGGTGAAGTAAGATTCTCAGGGGAGTGAATAATGGATAACCCACGTTGTGGCGGTGGTTAGCAATAGATGCAGTTTCGATCTCTGCTCTTCCACCAAGCCCAGGTAGCGCTCCATTTTCGGTTCGCGAAAAGGCCAAAGCACCTTCCGCGACGATTTCCTCCATCCCGGAACATTTAATTTGGCCTCAAGCTCTTCCAGGGCTGCGGTATATTCTTTCAAACTTTCGCTTCTCGTCCATTCAAGTAGCTCAGGGTATTGCGGATGGTTCTCATCGCCTTGTTCCGCAAGGCTTTGAATTTCCTTCAGCTGCTGGTCGAAATCCCTAATCTCATCCCCCAGTTTCTTGAAATCTTGCTCGCTCTCCTTGACCACATTGCAGTAGTCATCGCAAAGCTGGTAAACCTTCGCGCCCAGGTGAATGAGGGCCAAGACACTAGCGGTCAAGGAGATCAGCTCTGCCATTTTCGTGGTCGCGCTCGTTGCGGATCCGAGAGCGGTGGTGCAAAGATGCAGCTATTATAGCTCGCTATTTTTTAGAAATTATGGATCAATACAAGCCGGCGTTTAACTCTAAGGTAGACGGTCGCTACAGATTCGCTCGCTTTAGAGTTATTCTGCCTGACTGGGGATTCAAAGAGGTGATGGAATAGCAGGTGGAGGGTATGGGTGGTATTCAGCCGAATGTTTACTTTAAGTTCACCTAGAGCGGGGTTGCCACCTCCCAGCACTTGCACCCAAGTAGGACAGCTGCATGCCCAGTCTCCATCTGTCCAACCGCAAGCCAAGCATTATTCGAGTACGAGTGGACCAACTCCCATGCTCACATTTTCGAATTTCCTTCCTTGCCTGGGTTTTGGCGGAAGCACTTGATGCGTAATCGGGTAACGTACTTTACGGGGATGCAGCTCATCACCGGGATGCGGCTCAACCATGGCAACAAGTAGAAAACCAAATACATCTGGAATTATCTGTATGAATACTTGTCAGATCATCTCAAGAAATTATCAGTGGGTGCTTTAGAATATGGAGAACTCAAATATGTAAAATGTTTTTCATAGTTATAAGTTGTTCCTCCTGGGCAAGGGTTTTAAGATTGTGTCTCTGAAAACAAACTATTCGTGTTTCTTGATTGATAAAAATTGAAAAACATAGAAGAAACAGCTTTATGAGACAATCAAGAGACTGAATAAGTCTTATAAGCTTGCAGCTAATAGTTCTCTAGGATATTTATTAGCAATTAGTAATATTGTAGTGCCCAGTAGAAACTAATAGAAAATGAGTAAATTACATACAAATTTAGTATATTTGATAATAGCATAACTTGTTACTGTAATAACCTATAACTTAGATCTTTTACATCCAACTTTACACATGCCATTTGAGTAAGTATGCTCAATTTGAAGTTTGGCAGGTATGTTTTCCATATTCAGTAGTTTCATTATCAAAATAAGCTTTACACTGTTAGTAAATTATTATACAATTACAAGCTTACAAAAATAAAACCACTACACCATCTAAACACTTGCTAATTATTATCCACATATTTAGTGAGAACATTAGCTAATTTATATCAATATTTGATTGGAATAATATAATTATATAAATTATTATAGGAGTTATTAGTTATAATTATAGTATTTTAATTATACTATAATCCAATAGAAGACTAGTATTTAATCAAAGTTTTAAAATTATATCTTAATCTCCTAATTAGAGTGTACGTAATAGCAAAATTTCAAGCCACCTCACCCACTGGTACTAATTATTTTGATTGACAATAAAGACTTCTAGTTCTTTATCTACCATTCTGCTACTAATCATAATATAAGCATATAATACGAAAAATATGTCCCTCCATTTTAGAAACTAGTGTGCTTGTCTTAATGAACATTATAAAGTACATTTCAAAAGGCCAAAGTTATAGGTTATCATAGGAGTAAGTTATACTAGTATTAGATACTCTAAATTTGTATACAATTTGCTTACTTTTTATTAGAATCTACTAGGTATTATAACATTGAAAATAGATAATAAGCAAGAGTAATAACAATTGACTATAAGTCTATATAACTTATTCAATCTCTTGAACTACCTACAAAGATACTCCTAACTTATTTTTTTATTTTTATTTGCAAGGGGGTTGTGGCAAATTCATTTGGAAGAAACAATTTTAAAAATATTGTACAAGAAGAATAATTGATAATTATGAAATATAATTTATATAGTCTAATTCTCCATATTCCAAAGTACTTACTGATAAGATATCAAGGTGGTAACATGATTATTTGTAGATATAATGGAAAAAGTATGATATTTCGTTTTCTACTGGTTGCCATGAGTGAGCCGCATCCCGGTGAAGAGCCACTTCCACGTAAATTACGTTAATGTGCCTGCTGGAGCTACCACTTAGTCAGGGAAACCGTAAATTAGCATACTCGGGCAGCCAAGTTGAATTTGGACACTGAAAAGCTACCAATCACCGGGCCAATCAATTTTTGTCCCCAGGGCGCTGAACTGAGTAGTCTAATTCTATATGTCATAGATAACAAGCAGTAGCGTTCGGCGCCAGGCTAGCGCTTGTGGTGACATAGGGAGCTCTTCCTGGAGATGTTATTGACTAAAAGTATTCGGTGTTTGCTGAGATGCTTCAAAGGGCGATATTTCATAATGTAGGTACATAATTCCGGCGGCATGAGCTCGTTATTGGTCTGGCGATCGCCTCTCTACCAGTATCTAGGTGCCCAACTTCAACGCGACAGTCCGGGCACTCGTGTACCACACCCCCGAAATGCTACTTCTTGAGCTAGGAGTGTTGGCAATACTCCATCAGTTGTATGAGTAGGAGAGAGTGAATTCCACAGCACGGTGAACGGTAATATTTGATCCTAACCGACTTGGGACAACGTCCACCCGAGCAGGGGATTATGCAAGGTCGTGTCCGTAAAAATCGGGAAACAATTTCTTCATACATAAAAAAGCCCCTCCGGGGCCACCGCTACCGGTAACTCGCAGAAGATGATTTCTATGGACACTGTGTCGCTGTGGATCCTATTGCTCCCACAGGTCTTTTTCGTGGACGCACATCGCTGGCACCACCATGAACCAACCACCGGGCGCAAATCGCTCTTCGAAGGAACAGATTTTAGAAAAACTCAGGCATGAGGTGCACAAATTCTTTCTGCCCAGCGCCATACCGGCAAGCATGAGCTACCGATACGGCACTCAAGTACCGTATTATCTTCTGTTATCCGGTTTTCCGCCAAGAATATGGTGCAAGAAAGACGTAAGCTGTTGACCAATTATAGAATAGAAAAAGGTTTTAGGCCCTGTTCGGCATGTACCAATAAAAATATATCGCAATAAAAGTTGAAAATGGCATATATGCTAATAAAAAAAAATTCAGTGTTGAAAAAATATATAGGTGTTCGGCAGCGATTTACAACAATAGGTAACCCTGAAACAGTTGTCATAAAATAAACATTAGGTCAAATGCAAAAAAAAATGAGAATAAAAATTGAATGTTTGCTTCCTTGATCTTCCAGTCAATAACACCACCCATTAAACCACACATCCAACTACACATCAAACCACATCTCTCATTCCACTTGGATTCATTCAACTCTTTATTCCGCTGCTTGCAGTTCTCTATTGTGCTAATTCAGCCCTTTTTCAGTGGCAAGTTATTTATTCCCATACCATTAGTACTCTATAATACTTGACTGTATATCAGCTAACAGATGATTTTAGGAGAAATAGACAATACAAAAATGGGAAACAGTGTCTGGGTTGAAGATAGTGAAAGGTTCTTGGTTGAAGCTCTTCTGAGACATGTTGAGAATGGTGAACGTGGAGAAAATAGATTCAAAAAGTCTGTTTGGCTCAGTGTTGTTACAGAACTCAATGCAGCCTATAAGGAAGTTAGTAGCAAACCTTTCACAGTTGCTCAAGCTAAAAGCAAGGAGGTTATAGTAAGTTAATATCAATTCTACACAGAGTATTGAATTTTCTTATAGAGAATATATAAGCTGATCACAATATAGCTTAAGAAGGAGTTTGATATTGTTCATGCGATCCGCCAAAATTCTGGTTTTGGATGGGATGATGCCCGAGGTTTGCCAACTGCATCAGCTGAAGTGTGGAGAGTTTATCTTGATGTAAGTTTTTTCTCTTTATATTGGCATGCTAGTCTTATATACTAATTATACGGAATTATTTAACAGCGTCACAAAGAGGCTACAAAGTACAGACATAAAGGCTTTCTGTTGTATGACCAGCTAGCTAGCTTGTTCCTTGGAGGCCAAGCCACTGGCATGTTTGCTCGTACTGCTGCTATTCGATCTCCGATTGAACAAGCTGAAGGTAGTCAGGAGAAGCACAGGAGAACCACTGGCACTTGAAATTCCCAATCACATTCTGTGGAGGATATGTCAAGAGTTCTTGACATTGATTCCCAGAGTGGGCTGGGAAATTAAGAGAATGAGATTGAGCATAGCTCTCCA